GCTTGAGCCACAGGCGCCGAGCCTATCGTTTTATTTCTTAACCTTGCTTTAAGTGAATTTAAGCCACCAATGTAACCCACTTTCATTGCCCACTCTCCCACTAGACTCTGTCCCCTAGGTCCCCTGCCCTACTTCACATAGTCACTTTGAGGGCTGAAAAATGAGTGGTTAGGAAAGTTTTCTAAGCTGTCATTTCAGATGCACTTTATTTGTAAGATGCACTGTGAGATGGAACTTGCACTCCTGCCTGCTCACTCCACTGCCTCGTCCCCTCAAGGGTCCCATTAGTGCCGGGATGACAGCTCTAGAATGGCTCTTGATTGGGCCAACCCCCTCATTGTTCTTTAGAGCAAACTGAAGTCCCAAGGTACTCAGGCAGTTAGGGAAAATCGGTCAGCCATTATGTGAGAGTGGTGACTGGGTTCCAAGTCCACAGTCCAGGAAGGAGGGTGCTCTCTCTCCTAGCACCATGAGCTGGCCGTCTCGTGACTATCACACGCCGTGTGGTCAGAGTCATGACCATAGTACAAACATGTATAAACACAGTGTACTTGCAAACTTGCAAACATGTATAAACACAGTTTAATAAAAATGACCAAGGGCCCTTTCTCCACCTCTATAGGGGCAGGCCATTTGTAGAAATTCCTGTTTCTTAATGAAAGTCTTTAATGAAAACACACAAGGTCTGACAATTAAACTCATTCTAGACAAAGTGCTTAATACCTCATTGCTGAATATCACGATAGTCATCTTCAAAGTACTCCCTTTGGGAAGGTATGCATTGATGCTGGTGCCTAGTCCACCCTTCAAAGCAATTTTTGAACTCTCTTGAATGGGCATCAGAACTGTCATCATATTACTTTTGATGTCTTGAATGTCATCAGAATGTCTTCCTTTCAATATTTCCTTATTTTCAGATAAAAAAAAAAGTTGAGGGCCAGATCAGGTGAGTAGGGAGGGTGTTCCATTACAGTAATTTGTTTACTGGCTAAAAACTCCCTCACGGACAGTGCTGTGTGAGCTGGTGCATGGTTGTGATGCAAGAGCCATGAGTCAGTGAAAAGTTGACCTTTCTCATGCCAAGATTTTAGTTAAGATTTTCCTAACCATTTCTCTATTGATGTTTACTTGGTCTACTATGCTTCTCAAAGTCAGCTAATGATCTTGATAAATAATTCAATGAATTTTTGCAATATTTTCATCAGTTTTGGTCACTATTGGCTGCCCTGAACCTTCTTAAACTGTGACACTTTCTTTCCCCCAGGAAAATGTTTAATTTATTTATACACTGCCATTTTCTTCATGGAATTGTCCTCATAAACTTGGATTAATGTGTTCTTGATTTCACTTCCACTTTTGCCAACTTTAACAAGAAATTTAATG